CCCTTCTTCCAGTGGCACAATGAATGAGGCATATAACAAATGTCCGCCAAGAGAGCATTTTATCAGTTTGAAATGTCCACCTACAAACATGCCTAGGCTGGGTATGTGTCTATGAATTTTAGGAGATTGTTATTGTGTCCCATAGCTTTTCAATATTTTTTTTTTACAAAGGAAACTAATCTCATAGGTACCCCTAAAATATTCACTCTTAGTATAGACATTGGTGATTGCAGTCAGATCCTCTGCTGGTGTAAATCAGTGTAGCTCCATTGAGGATCTGGCCCAGTGTGTCCAGGGATCATGCTGTGTTTGAGGATTCCATGTACTGCTCAGACATCTTTCTCTTCCTTAGTAAAATCCTCAGCCATGTGTAAATGTCATGTTATAAACGATAGCCTTTCTTGTCATGATGTTAGTGAATAGTCTGTTATCACATTAGTGCCTAGAAATCCCCAGATCAGGATTGAGTCTAGATTGCTAGGCACTTTACAAACACATATGAAGATATGATCCCTGCCCCTAAAAGCTTACAATCTATGAAGGCATGATCCAAACCCAGTGAAGCCAATGTAAAGACACTCCTTGACTTCAGTGACCTTTGGATCAAGCTTTATGAGATCAGCAGTGTCAGGCCTTGGTCCTGTAAAAACTCATATGAATGTGCTTTCTTTTACATATATTACTACTCCTATTGATTTCAGTGGGACTACTCACATGTTTTCAAGTGTAGCACATGCTCAGATGTTTGCAGGATCAAGGCCTTCACCAAGCAGCTGCTGCTCCTGTCAGCTTCCTTAATAATCAGGATACTTGTTCTGTGTCCAAAGGGAAGTACAGTAATTTTAAGGAGGATACTCTATAACTCTTCATATATATATAAAAAAAAGAGATTGAATCCCTGCTTCAAGTGCAAACTTTAATGCAACCTTAACGATGGAACTTTGAATGACGTTTCCATAATACACTGTGCTGCTAGCTTGAGAATAATATTGTCATTACACAGCCCATGAATGGAACTTCCATTGACATCACTGTTTCTTCTACTGGTTGAGGACAATAAATGGCCCTCAGTGATAATAGCATCATTGTGTGAGCTGTAATTTTATGATTATTTTTTCTTTCTTGTAGATGAGGTCCCATCAAAATTGATAGGATATCTGCACCATTAATTAAAATAGGACTTTGCCCTCCCTGCTCCCTCTTGTTTTGACTCCCCCTCATACAGAGATGTTTTAAAGAGAGTGATAGATAGAGTTGTTAGCATCCACGATCAGCAATCCCAGGCAGGTAGATCTCTAGAGAGGTGAGGGACCCTGAATCCCATGTCTGTTTATCTCTGGATCTCAGGGGTGTCTCTTCCCTTATTAATATTTTGGTGGGGGAGGGATACTCATGTGTGACTTGACCCTCATTAACATGAGATTTAGAGTTGCCTTCCACTCTTCCCAGCTACAGTCCCTACCAGCTCCAGGGAGCCCTGCAGAGTTTCCTGCTGCCTCACAATCAGAGCTGTTAGGCTACCTCCTGATGCCCACCTCCTGCAGCTGCCCGGAGAAAGCCCCAGAAACGCCTTTTCATACACAACAGCAGGTCAAAAAACTAAGAATAAAAAGACATGCCCCATTTTCACAGAAGAATTTTCTGGGCGTTTGCCCACCCCTTCCCAACCCCGATTTTGGACATTTGAAATTTTGAAACTGGAATCATTTTGACCAGCTCTGTAGATGCTCCAAAAATGGAGGAAAAATGTGATCAAGCAGGGAGCATTTCCAGTATGGGCCTAATAGCTCACAGGGGATCCTAAACTCCCTAAAATTTGGTTGTGATGTCTCTGTTTGGCAGTTATTAAACCTTACCATCAATTTTCTTCAAAATGCAGGCCAGGAGAAAGGTGAGTTGTAAATGCCCTTCACTGGGACATTTTCAGGAAGTTTAGACTGAATTTAATTATTGTTTTTGAAAATTTTTAGCAAATGTAATAATCAGAAATATTTTAATTTAAAGGGAAACAGATTTTTGTTTACATGTAATCATTTCTTTGGAATCAAACATTGCAGCATTCTTATACGGCATGAGTAGATTCTCCAGGACCTTCAGAGAAAAATAGGAAGTCACGGAATCTATTACTCCTGTCCCACTACTGTATTCTCAAGATACATTCACAGACTCTGTCACACATCCTACACGTTCAGTACTACTTTCAAGCCAGTTTCCAGGATTTGTTGCTGCTTTGGATATACTGATTTTGGGGCAGATTTTAAAAGGAGCAGTACTACAGCTGCCATTAAAAACTTTCCTCAGAAGTGTAGAAAATCCTAAAATGATTATCTTTCCTTTAACTTTTTTTTGGTCAGTAATGTACTGAACAAGTAGTGTTTTGCTTCGAATCTTGATTTCTTAGGGCCTGTCTTGGATACTCTTATTCCACAATAAGAATGCCTTTTTCCAATTTAGCTTAATACACTTTGGAAACAGATTAAGCTACATTAGAAAAAGGTGGTTTTATTATAATTATGTAATAGTGTCATAGGCGCCGACTCCATGGGTGCTCCGGGGCTGGAGCACGCACGGGGAAAAATGGTGGGCACTCAGCACATACTGGCAGCCCCCTTATCAGCTCTCCCTCACTCCCCGCATTGCCTCCCGCCCACCAGCGGGCCCCGCCGATCAGCACCTCCCCCTTCATCCCCGCACCTCCCACCCACCGCAATCAGCTGTTTGGTGGCGTGCTGGGAGGGAGGGAGGGGGAGGAACAGAGGACACATTGCACTCGGGGGAGAGGCGGAACTGGGCAGGAAGAGGTGGGGCGGGGAGTTGGTGGTGGGGCCTGGGGTAGAGCTGGGGGTCGAGCACCCCCCCACACTTTGGAAAGTCGGCGCCTGTGAATAGTGTGTTATAACTTATAATAGTGGCCACCCAGGGAGCTATTCCAGAAGAGCTATTGCAGAATAGCTGTTCTGGTCACTATCGCCCCATTTAGACATGCTCTCAGCAACTTAGACTGAAAAGCTCGAAAGAGCTGGAATTTTATAAATGATCCATAATAGCAGTAAGTGCTACAGATTTCATGAAAAAATAAACACTGAATTCAGATCTGCAATTCCTTGGAACATATGTCAATGCTGTATACTTTGAAGAAAATTCAAGACATCTATCCAGAATACTTTTTTTGTCTTAATTAATAGGATAGAACAAGAAAAGATGCTTGTGAAGGCAAATAATAAAAGCAAAGTAACATTGATTTCCTCCTCCGTCCTATAGTATTATTGATCTATTTTAACCTAATTGGCACTTCCAAAAATAAATGGAAAAAACACTAGAATCTTAAGAGAGATGCAGGTAACTCTTTGTGATTCAAGTATTTCCGCTCTGTACAGAGTGTCCTTTATCCTGCCTGTTAATGACTCTCTCGCCTCCCTGACAACCTGCCGACCTGTGACCCGTTAACAAACTGGCTTTGCTTTTGTTCTCTTTCTCTTTAATCTCAGGCCTCTAATTTTTCCTTGTAATTTAACTGAATAACAGAACTAAAGCTGACCTAATGTATGTGTACAAGGGATGAATCCAAACATGGTCTGAAAAAAAAGCAAGTTTTCAATACTGGCCTCGTCTGACATGTAGATAAGTGTGCTTTTTAAAAAAAAATGTACAGCTAATTTAGCAAAAAAGAAATAACATAAGAGTTACTGTAACATAAATGCACCAGAGTTTGCAGGAAACAAAAGAAAATTATTTCTGCTGTTCCCCGTTGAATGTGAAAGTTTAATGTGACTTATTTTTAATAAATGACAGTCATGTAAACACATTAATATATGTAAAGTCAATGGATTAAATACTTCCACTATCTAACCGTCCTTAGTTCTTATCCTACAGACACTTTGCATGTGGGTAAATTTAAACACGAGGAGTCCCATAACAGACATGCGTAATGTTTGCAGGATTGGGAATTAATAATTACATTTAAGGGCTGACGCTTCAAACACTTACTCCTGTGAGTAGTTGCACTGAAGTATTCCCATGTGCTTCCATGTGAAGTCAGTGGGAGGATCTGCATTTAGTTCAGTGAACTTTAGATCAAGCCCTATGCATTTACAATATCAGATTTAGTCCTGTCCTCACTAGTCCTAATTATCCTCTCATCCTGGTGTAAATCATGTGTAACTTTATTGTTGTCAAAGTTACCCCGGTCTAAAACCAATGTAAGACTAATCAGAATAAGGTCCATTGAATGTGCAAACAGGACTCAGTAGAACAGGGTTGGAGAGGATACACAATTTTCCATGTTAGTTAAAGTAATTTAGTTAGTAAATATAAGAAGCAGACAAACATTTTGATGCTGATTTTTAAAGTGTCCTTAATTTAGCCTCTTTTTTGGGAGGCTGACAAATAATTGAGGAACAGCTCCTAGAAAAGCTTCTCTATGCATCTGAAGAAGTGAGGTTTTTACCCACGAAAGCTTATGCCCAAATAAATCTGTTAGTCTTTAAGGTGCCACCAGACTCCTTGTTGTTTTTTTAGCTCCTAGAAAGCTATTATTTTTATAGTCAAATGAGGATGGCACTTCCTCATTTGTGGGTACAATAAGATAGATGTTTATATATATCCTCCTTTGGGCCCATAAATTAATGATTCCACTTATTTGCAGGTACCTAACCTGTGTGGGGGCAAGTTTTTAAAATCTGATTATAAATTCTGCCACCAAATAGGCGCATTCAGCTCCCATTGATTTCAAAGGGAATGATATGTGTTGTTCACATTTGGGGATAGAGTTTGGTCCTTGTCATTTGAGCCCTAACCTAGGAAGAGTTATTTTGCATGTGTGTTTGACTATTTAAAGTACACGGCTTAACGTTAACCTCTTTGTTCATATGAACCACCTAGGTATTCTTGTAGAAGGCATGTTTAAAGTAAAGCTACAGATAAGAGACTCTTGCCATAATTATATCTCCATCCTAACATAATGCTGTTGTTTATCCCTATCTACTCTTGTAACAAAACAGAAGTACTCTGCTGTCTCTCTCTGCAACATATCTACAGAGGTCCTAAAAGTCATCAATGCCACAGAGGAACTGATAGCAGAATCCACCGGTCCCTGTGATTTCCCAGCAGATACTCATGACAGAGGGAGAGGGGCATTTCCATTAGGTACAGACCCTATCAGACTCGATGAGCAGCTCACCACCTTGGAAGAAAATGTAAGAGTACGATATCAATGTCAAATATAGCAAATTGTTTTCTTTAGGAAAAAAAAGTGGCATGTGGTATGTTTTGACCTAAGCAATAGCATGTTGAGTTTTAGTATTAATTTTCTGCTTTAAAAAGAACAAACTTGTTTTGAAAGGATCATCAGCTATTTTTTATTTATTTTTTTTTAATTCAGTTTGGGAAACATTCATAATAATAGGAACAAACTGAACATCTGTTGGGTTTTATAGCGGTGTAAAATTATCTTACTCTAAAAAGAAACTTAATCCCTTAAAGTCAAGTGGTGGCCTGACGTATACAACCTTGGAGTGGCTTACTGGGAAGCGAAATACCTCTATGTCCCCGCACAACCGCCTGGGACATCAAGTCAGGGTACAAAGAGTAAGCAGGAACCTATGTAGGCAGGCAAGGAGTAAGAGTAGCCTTGACTCCACCTCCACTCCCAACACACCAGTCTGATCTGAGAAGGACCTGGAGTAAGGGGAAATGGACAGCTGTGGCACTCCGGCGCTGCTTTTGGGGTGGTGCAGCTATGTACTGCCCCCATTACATAGAGCAAACTGGAAAACCATAAATTAGTCCTAAAAAATACCAAAAAAGCCATTTCCTCAGAAGAATCAAATTCCTCTGCCCTTTTGAATGAGCAGGTGCTACCCATCGTCACCCAAAGGAAGAATTTAGCTATTTGTAAGTCGTCATTAACTAAATGTTCTGGTGTATCCTGAATGGAATAATAGTTTTTTCATGCCTCTCGATCTTCTCCTAAGTCTGTCTTAACTGATATTTAAACTACTGTATTTTCTCTTCTTTAGTGATTTTTAAAGTGTAATAGGAATCCCAACTATCCCATTATAACAATTAAAGCAAATAGACACCTGTTTTACTCTGTCTGAAAACCCATAAAGAAAGAAGCTCCTCGCAGTGGGTGAATTCACTTCATCCACATTAGAGTGTAAGTTCTTTGGGGCAGGCACTGTCTTTTTGCTATATTTTCATACAGCACCTAACACAATGGGATCCTGATCCAGGATTGGGACTCGGTGTCCTGATAATACAAATAATAAAAATAAATCTGGACTAAAAGTTAAATCTGCCACCCACTTTCTGGTCTGGGACCAGGCCATCAGGGCTTTGGTGTTTTACTCCATTCCCCGTAACTGCTATTCTTGCCAATGATCTGAAATAGTGGCTTCCGCCCATTAGCATCACTTGCAAAGGATATTGAGCTCACCAGATCCCATGACCCATTCCCCTGACTGGTTCCCCACCTTGCTGCAACTGCTGCCATCTATGAATATGTCTACACTGCAGTTGGGAGTGAGCTTCGCAGCCTGGGTACACAGATTTGGGTTAGCAGAGCCACGATAGTGCACCAAAATAGCTGTGTGGACATTCCGGCTCAGGCAGAGGTTCTGCAACCCCCTAGGTTTCAGAGCCCAAGCTCCAGTGCGAGCCAGAAGGTCCATATTGCTATTATGAGTGCACTAGCTCAAGTTCTACTGGCTCAAGCTGCGCTACCGCAAGTATGAGGCTTGCTTCCAACCACAGTGCAGACATACCCTCATCCTATGTGTTGAGGTTGGCGTGAACCAGGCCCTTGTGTAGTTGCTCCCTCTGTGCAGCCCAACCCTGGAACCTCGGTGGTGTAAAGACCCTCATGTCTGCCTTTCGTGAATTTCCCCCCTACCATACTTCTTAGTTTCAACACATTTGAAAGGGTGCCAGAAAATTAAACTAAAATACAGCATGTGTAACAAAGATGCCTACGTGTCCTTAAATCAGTTTCCTGCCAGTGTCCAATTGATTTTATAGTGCATTAATCAGTGTAATGAAGTAGCAAGTTTAGAGTGTCAGGAAATGTAGATGTTTTAGTCACTTGAAATATTTAATGATTTAAGCCTTAATCCTGCACTGGGATCCTCTAGTGCAGTGCTTCTCAAAGTCGGGCCGCCGCTTGTGCAGGGAAAGCCCCTGCCGGGCCGGGCCTGTTTGTTTACCTGCCGCGTCCGCAGGTTCGGCCGATCGTGGCTCCCACTGGCCGCGGTTCGCCGGTCCAGGCCAATGGGGGCTGCGACCACCAGGGGCTTTCCCTGAACAAGCGGTGGACCAGCTTTGAGAAGCACTGCTCTAGTGGGCTGACCCCTGTGCCTGTGTGGAGCCCTAATGACTGGGAGAATGAGAACAGAGTGAAAACTGAAAGCCAGATTGTCCCAGGTCACAAGAGGCGCCCGAAGAGGAGGCCAGTTTAAAAGATTTCCTCCCCATTCTTTTGCTCCCTACCCACCCACCAAGGAATAAACAGTGACCTCCACCCTTAAATTCCAAGAGGGTCCCCCCTGATCCACATGGGTCTTTGGGATCCATTGGGGCACAGGGCCTTGTGCATTCACATCGGCTGTGGCTTTCCTGCGCTGTGGCAGTACAACCCCAGTCACAGTGCCAGAGCTTGCCCACACTTGCAACACTCCCCAGAATTGCCCTCTAACGGGTTCCCCAGCACAGAGTGGCTCCACAGGAGAGGCATACAACCTCAGCCTGATTTCATTTTCCTGCAAAAGCCATGCAGGCTGCAAGGGGGGATGATGCACATTATCCCCACTCTCAGCCTCAGCCCATCCTTTCCCTCTCCACGCAAAATCCTGGCCCATGGAAATCAGTGTCTAAACTTCCATTGGCTTCAATGGGCCAGGTTTTCACACCTCATATATACATGTGCAGACTTGTGAAGAGCCATCTGCAAATCCAGGACTGGTGCCACCAAGTCAGCTGCTCCATCTCCTCAAGTGCAGCTGGGGGCAGATCTGCACACACAGGATTCCCTCTGCACATGATCTGGGCCTGAGAAGAGACTTAACAATTATTGGGAATTATGTGTATGAGTCAAAGGGGAGAAAAAAGAGCACACTTTTCTGCCGGATATGTGCGAATAACCTCACATGTGCTTCAGTGGGAGCTGCACACGCTAACTTATAGCTGAGTTTGGCTCATACATTTAAATTTATAGATAAATAATTTAGTGGGAGATTTTCAAAGGCACAAAGAGGAGTTAGCCCAACTCCTATTGAAAATGAATGGGGTTTGGGTGCTTGTCTACTCTCTGTGACGTTGAAACTCTCCCCATTAGAGCTGACTGGAAAATCTGCAGTGAAATTAAATTTCAACAAAAGTTGAGGGTGGAGGAGTTAGGAAAAGTTTGTGAAAAATGTTTTCTATTTTCCAAGCAGTTCTATTTTCCGTAAGCATTTTTTCCTTGTGAAAAATTTAACCAGTTGTACATTGTACTTTGCCAAAACATTTAAATGAATCTTTTCTTCAGCTTTCTGAAGGATTTGCTGATTAAATATTTCCTTTTTCCTCTTTCTCCTCTTGTGAGCTGCATGGATGTATTTAGCAGAAAAGAAGTCAGATATAGATATAGACATACAGTCTCTTTTTAATCTAAAATTACTGTGCAGGAAATGTTGCACCACAAAGAAATTGCTTTGAAATGAAAGAACTTTTTTAAAACCCACTAAAGCATGGAAATTCTTGTTTAAATCAGAATTTTCATCTTTTAGTCATCCTTTTGTGTCTTAAGTGCTTCAGCCAAGATGTCAAGGCAGGCCACTTCTTTGCAGCAAACCACCTTATTAAAGGATTTATCCTCCATGCTAAAACTTGTCATTTTGGAGATTCACATAGTACGAGACAAAGTGTATTAGCTTATCAGCATAGTCACATATGTGTAAAAAAATACAATACAGGTTTATACTCTTAAGACTGTGGTTTTCAACCTGTGGTCCACAGACCCCTGGGGGTCTGCAGACTATGTCTAAGGCAGTGGTCCACAACCTTTTTTGTCTGGCGGGCGCCAGACGACGAGCCACGGAGGACCGTGGCGGCGGACGAGCATCCGCCGAAATGCCACCGACAAGCGGCGACGTCAATAGGTGTCGGCGCCGAAATGCCACCGACAAGCAGCAGCATCCAGAGGCGTTGCCGCCAAAATGCCGCCGAAAATCTGGATGACGCTGCATTTCGGCACATGCTCGTCCCCTGGCCAGTACGCAGGCACACTTTAGACCCCCCAGCGGGCACCGCGTTGGGGACCCCTGGTCTAAGGGGGCCATGAAAGGTTGTTGTTACCATAGAATAATGGTTTTCAACCTGTGGTCTGTGGACCTCCGCTGTCCACAGACTATGTCTAAGTTTTCCAAAGGGGTCCGCACCTCCATTTGAAATGTTTTAGGATTCCGCAAATGAAAAAAAGGTTGAAAACCACTGCTCTATAGCAACCAATTCAAGATGTCCCATTTATTTTTATTTTGGGGGTTAAAATGATTTTGATTTAAGGAAAACACAATCTAGTTCAAATAGTTAGGAAATGATAATATCTAATGTAGAGGTTCTCCAGCGCTTTTGGTCCATGATAACCCACAAAAGGGTCCCAAAATTGTATCCCCCCCCCAACTGTATTAAAGGGTTGTGGGATTTGGAACACAGGCTGGCACTGTTGCTGCTGGGTTGGGAGGCTTGTGTGGGGTGTGAGGGAGTGATGCTGCTGTGAGGGGGAGTGTTGTTTCTGCTGGAGGCTCTTCTCCCTGTGTGCGCAGTGCTCAGCTGTGGGACCCAGAAGCCAGCTGCACCGTGTTTTTCCACTTGTGGTGTTTTTGTAACAATGTGATCATTCGGGGGTGCTGAAATACTTGGCAGCATTCTTTAGTTTCCTTCCACTGTTCAGCAACAGTGCTGCTGGGATTGCATGCTGGTTATTTAGGGAATGGGTAGAAGATGCAATATTGTCACGTGGACTGGCAGACACTTAGGCAGAGCACTACGTGGTAGATGCCTGTGTCCTATCAAGAAAACCCAACAGCTAGACAACATACTTTGTTCTCTGAGTAAGATGAAAGAAAGTAAATAGACCACTATGTATTGTGAATAATCGCTCTGAATAGAAAATAAACTGTCTATTAGTGGTTTCTCCCTAGATGAGATTACTGTGCAGGGGAGATTGTTTTAAAAAATAGTTCTAACAGAATTGTAGTGATACATTTATTTATCCCAAACATCTTATAACTAAGGACAAATTATCCATGCCTTTATCTCCCCACGGTCAGACTGCTAATGCACTGTACTTGGGAGTGTCCCTGAGACTCATTCAGAAACTGAAGCTAGTGCAAAATGTGGCAACCTGCTTAGCAAGTGTTGTGTTTCGATAGGAACACGACACCATTGTCCGAGATCTGCACTGCCTGCCTCTTGGTCTCCAGGTATAATGCAAGGTATTAGACTTAAGATATAAAGCTTGACATGAATTGGGACTGGCCTGCTTGAGAATCTTCCCTTCTCCCTTGCCACTGCTGCGGTCAAAAAGGACACTTGATCCGGGACTCCCCATGTTACAGAAGAGAGGGAGCTGCTAACAGAATGCTGTCTGAGAGGGGCCCTTAACTATGGAATTTGCCCCTCCCACTTTATACCCAAATAGCTTAGTTGGTTGACCTTCAAGACACACTGCAAGCCCCATCTATTTGTGAAGGCTTGTGGAGGGGGATGAAGATATGAGTTTTGGATGGTGTGGGATGGTGTATAGTCTGCTGCTTTGATTAATTATCAAGATAATTTATTTTACTGGGTCTAAGTGCTGATATTCTGCTGAGTGATTATTCCTATGTGGAATTTTAATTGTCAGACTGCCTTGACTTTGTGTATAGGCATTTTTATTTTAAAATTAAATATATAGATAATGTTATTTCATAGTAGGGCTGGTTGAAAGTTTTCCATCTAAACTGCTTTTGACAGAAAATTGGGGTTTAAACAAAACTTTTTACTAAATTGTCAATTTGTGCTAAAATTTCAACTTTTTGTCAAAAAACTGAACACCTGAAAACTAAAATGTTTTCAGTTTTTGGCTGAAAATATTTCCATTTCAAAACACCACTGTAGTGCCTCATGGGAGTTGTAGTTTGGCTGCCTCCTGCCCCCATTCTCCTCTAGGGGCTGGATTCTCCAGCCAGACTACATCTCCCATGATCCACCACAGCCAGGACTTCCGTGGTGCCCCACGGTGGCTTGGCAAATGAGGAAACTGTGTTGCATAATTGGAGATGTAGGCAGGCTAGATAGCCTTGCACATAATGAAAAATGGGGTCATGAGGTATCCAAACATACAACTCACAGGAGGCACCATGGAGGCATTTCCAATTCAAAATTTTCGTTTTCAGTCTAAAGTTTTCAATTTTTGCTTTGTCACCAAAAAGTTGAAATTTTCCATAGGGGGAAAATAAATTTCCAATCAGATCTATTTCATAACAACTGTGGTGCATGCAGAGATTTTGGGGGTCTGGCTTTCATCTTTTGCTGCTAATAGTCTATGGTCTCTTTGAGTTACACCATGAATAAAAACAAATCTGACTTACTCTGTACCATGATTTGGATCCTTAGGTGTATCTGACAGCAGGCACTGTGTACGGGTTAGAGGGTCAGCTGAATGAATTAGAGGATGCAGCACGCAAAATCAACAGTGTTACAGCGGAATCGGAACTAGCTGATCTGGAGGATCAGGTAGCAACAGCAGCAGCACAGGTTCATCATGCAGAGCTTCAGGTGAGGAAATTTACTACCTTCCTATTTCGAAAGCCAATACAGTATTGTACTGTCGTGCTTAGCCCTTATATATTAATATTTCACTTATTCAAGCTTATCATCACTGTTATACAGATTCTGTCTGTACCCACATGGATTAATTAGCTGGACTTCATTTTTAATAATCCAAAAATATGTATCCATATAACAGCAGCTGAGCAGGATGTGTGTTGCTTGGGCCATAGTTCATCACATATAGATATACAGGAGGAATCCCCTTCTTTGGACCAGATATGTTGGCTCTAATCCTGCTGGTACTGAAGTCAGTTAGCAAAACACCCATTAACGTCAATAGGTGCTGATTCATGCCCAAGTTCCATTGACAGCATGCTGTACATCTTCAGATTCAGCAAAGACGCTGGACTCTGTGCAGTAAACTAAATCGGGTGGTGTTCATAGACCAGAATGAGAGAACTGCGGCCACATAATGTGCGTGTGCTGATTTTACCACCTCTGTTCTGAACAACTTTCTGAACTGTTTCACTGTGCCAATATATACTGGCTGGCACATTCTGAGGTCTTTACTAAAAAAATTTTTACAGGCAAACTTACATTGACTTCATTCAGCAGCAGTTGCTTGTGTAAGAACTAAGACCTCAGGATTTGTCCTAACTACTTGAGTAGCTTTAAAACCAAGGATGGTGTTTTCTTTGTATGGGCTTGAATCATTAGTTTATGGTAACATGTAAATAGGAAAAAAGACAGCCATACAAGGTGTCGAAGGAAAATAAGTTTGTACTTAAAACAGTTAAAAAGCAATCGATCCTAGTGAGGATATCTTTCCCACAGTATTGGCAACTAAGATTGTCATCTGTCATCAGTGTGCCCCTGCACATGTTATCTGTCTGGCTGTTTTCTCGTTTCTCTATCAGTTCTGTCCCTTTTGCATAATTTGTTTCCTCTATCTCCACTTCAGCCTGCTTTCTTCCCAAAGGCTTATTTACTTGCTGTTTGTTTGCTTGTTTGTTTAATAACATGTCTTTACTGACAGGGCCGGCTCCAGGGTTTTGGCCGCCCCAAGCAGCCAAAAAAAAAAAGCCGTGATCGCGATCTGCGGCGGCAATTCAGCAGGAGGTCCTTCGCTCCGAGGTGGAGTGAGGGACCGTCCGCCGAATTGCCGCCGACTACCTGGACGTGCCGCCCCTCTCCGGAGCGGCCGCCCCAAGCACCTGCTTGACAAGCTGGTGCCTGGAGCCGGCCCTGTTTACTGAGGTATTTGAAGTATGAATTACAGAACGTTTAAGGTAGAAGATTTCGGTGTTGTTACAAAGAAACCACTTTGTTCTGTGTTCAAAGAAATAAGAACCGATGTGAAATAGCAAATGCAGTATAAAATATAGTGCTTTAAGCATAACTTTTTAAAACACAACTTGAATGAGGTTATAATTACACAGCTGTGAGTCATTTGTTACTGGATATTTTTCAAATGTAGGAAAGTGTCCATAGTCATAGAGAATGTGAGTACAGTGCCACGAGATCATTCGTTTACTCCATGTAATGAGCAATCATCTGAATGTTCCCTTTGGCACTCATGACTAAAGAACACAGCCGTCCACAATGTCTCAATTAGATTGTCTTTCAGAGTTACAGAAGAAATCAATTGTCTCTTTCTTTATATTTCTGATTGATGAGGATGTGAGCATGAGTTCCTTTTGCCATTAACTAGTGGTGTTTACAGTAATTTTGAAACTTCTCCCTCCCTTTGTTTCTTTTTAATTTATTGTTTTGCTTTAAGATTTCAGATATCGAGAGCAGAATTTCAGCTCTTAGTGTTGCAGGCTTGAACGTGGCTCCATGTGTTCACCTAACAAGAAAACGGGATCAAAAGCAAATGAACCAGGTGCCACAACATTATGCAGTTTTGCATGGGGGAAGACCCTGCTTCTTTCTGAATTAAAGCTTAGTAAAACCTATGTGTTTTTCACAGATGCAAACAATAGACACATCAAGACAGCAGAGGAGAAAGCTGCCAGCTCCACCGGTAAAAGGTGCACCAAAAAATTCATTCAACTCATTTTATTTATTATGTTCTCTTTTTGGTTAAACTATAGTGTACAGCCTAAAGAGGGCAGCAAAGGGGAATTAAATTACAAAGTGAATGCAATGAGAATAAACAGTACCCCAGAGCTATATGTACATAAAATCAAATACTGATTTGGCCCTTTGGAAGGTGCTTTCACTTGCTCATTTGATTTAATTTGGTGCCATACGTCAATGGGGACAAGAGCAGAAGACTGGCTAAGGCAAATAAGAAATGATGACTGTGTGACCTGAAAAGATCCCCAAAAGGGTATTTTGGAGTGAGTGAAGGTTAGAATCAGCAGACAGAGCAATCACAGCGTGCTAGTTAGCAGAGATGGTGCTAGCCCATTGGGGGCCCCCCACATAACATGCAATAAAAAGCGAGTGGGGAGCCCCCTTGAGCTGCTCGGGGCCCTAAGCAATTGCATAGTCTGCTTATGCCAAGCACCAGCTCTGCTAGTTAGCGATGGACAATTGTAGTTCAAAGCATTATTCTGGGATTAAGTGGAGCATGTGTCAGAAAGCCACCTGTGCCATAGACAACAGATCCCATTTCTTGTCTTAAAAATATTTCTAGTTTCTGGAGAGTCAATGCACTTGATTAGAATTTACTATATACACATGGAAAAGCGTAATTAAGGCCTGAATCCAGTAAAGCACTATTTAATAAAACATTTAAATGTGAGCTTAATTTAAGCACATCTTTAAGTGCCTTGCTGAATCCAGGCTGGAGGGCGTAGGAAGTTTTAGGGACAGGGTGAAGCTACCCAGCTAACATGCTGTCTTTTATTTACCTTCATCCCAGTGTCATGCTTTTGCCATGCCACAAAATCATCTTAAGAAATGTATCTCTTGAATTCATCTATAACTTTTGGCTTAGTGACATTATCTGGTGATTTAGTGTACACACATGAACATTTTCATGAGATAGATCTGTCTTTGCTTTCCTGTTTACTCTGAGTTTCCTAAGTTTTCAGTGTGTGCCTTCCAATTTTTTTTAACTCTTCAGTGGTATGAAAATACTGATCTCAGACAACTTCTGGGCCCGATTCACCACTGCTTTACTCTAATCTTGTGGCAGTGTAACTCCAGTGATGGAAGTAAAGTCACTTGATAGTGAACCAGGCTGTCTCATAATTTCAAAAACCTCTCTTACAATATCACAGTCTTCCAGTTTCCATTTAAAGTAAACCTAACTTTCCTCAAAACTTAGATTTAAGTCTCTAAAGAGCTAGAAGATTTGCTTTTTCAAGTCTGATGCTTGGTTCAAGTTGTCACGTAAAGGATGTTCCCATTTTTTCCCTCCCAGGTGAAAATATTGATGCTTCTCCAGTTACTACTGTTAGAACATTTAACAGAAACTTTATGCTCCAAGGATCTCTAACACAAAGAACTAAAGAGAGAAAAAGCACTGCCAAGGACTTGATGGTAACATCTGAGAACAGACCTTGTTAAAACTGTTAAGAGCAGGAAATACGGAGAGAGGGATTACTCATTTAAGGCTAGATTGTCCCTAGCCCTTACTCACTTGCTCACGCTCTCCTGTCGACTCCCCTTGTACTTCTCGTTCAGGTGGAGTACAGGAGTCAACCGGAGAGCGATCAGTGGTCGATTTAGTGGGTCTAGTGAAGACCCACTAAATCGACCGCCGATGCATCGATCACCACGTGTCGAACCCCCGGTAAGTGTAGACAAGCCCTAGTCTAGTCTGTACCTACATTGATGTGCATAAACATGCTCCTACTGCAAGTTCTCTGGGTGTGTTTATAGAATTATAAATATAAACCATTTCAAAAAAATCCTGTCAAAATAGGCAGAATTAATAGACATTCGCTCCACAGCGCAAACTTGTGGGGCAGACCCTGACAGCAACAATGCCACAATATAATACAGTAGAAGACACTCTCCTCATATCTCAGCTGCTTACAGGGAAATGCTCAGCATAGGGATTTAGTGGGAGTTAAGTGGTGCATAAACCATGTACTTAGGGGTGAATTTCATCCCTGTGTGAACAAATGGGCCATTCACTGTACCCAGAAGATCAATAATCTCATGTTCTATCAGGCCAATGGGGGAACAAGTCCAAGAGCTGAAAACACCTTGCCCCAGACACCCAAATTGAGATCGTGGCCCCACTGAAGTCAATGAAAGTTTTGCCTTTACCTTTAGTGGGGCCAGGATTTCACCCACAGAATTCAAATCTAAGGACTGTCAAACAGAAGCAGCTCAGCTCAACTCAACAATCAGGAGGGGACTTAAGTGGTATACAAGTCTTTGTACTGCATGGGGTATATTTCACCTGGTAATAAAACATTGATGGTCCCCTTTCATTTAAAAAGCCTTATCAGCATTTTTTGTCATTATGAAATCTTTTGCTAATGTTTTCCTTTTCTCTCCATTCTAGGAACCAACTATAGGATCTGCTGTAATGTACTAGACTTACAAAACTACTGCCAATAACACACTGCCTAAGGCTGTACACTATAGTGCCTTTATTTAACAGCCATTGTATATGTCCAATGGAAAACGGACCCTCGAGAACCCACAATGCCTCAGTAATAGGGCTTTGTTTGGATACCTCACTGAGAAAGCTGTCCAGCATTGTGGTCTGCTAATGGAAACTCTGCCTTAAAGTTCTCATGAGACTCCAGAAAGGATACTGAGTTTCATAAGCAAGGCTCCATGTTTTAAGATGCACTTTTTTTCCCCCATTGATTGTACTAAAGTATATTGTCTTTAAAATACAATATGTTTTTGTATACTTAATTTAACCATAATTGTTGGTCAATATTTCCTGTGAAGAGAAAGGTAAAAAACAAACCTGTGATCCATATTTGCTGGCACGTTTGACACTGAGTTCAGTGTTTGTAGATCAGTCCCAATATCATTTTCTAAAAGACCCTCTGTATGCTGATAGAGCAACTTTGGCTGAGTTATTATTCTATCTCCAGACCTGGGCTGTTTGGATGCTAATGGAGCAGTTTACATTTGCGATAGGCTGGCATATTCCACCATAGCATACTGTGGTGGGGGACACGCATGTATCATGTCGACAAAAAGATAAATTCTGAGTCATTATTTTGGCATCTGAAAACCATTGCAAAATCAACACCCTGCACCTCTATGCTTAGAAGCATAATCCATTTTAGGCAGTGTCCTAAATATTTGTTACACCCAGCAGGTGCATCTCTGAATTAATCCTTATCAAATGTTTAAGATTACAAAATTAGAATAAAACAATGCTGGGTGTTGGATATTGTTCAAAGAAAGTGCTTCCTGAAATGTATTTTTAAACATTAAGGGCTAGTTATAAAAGGCCCTTGTACAGGTGCTACGAGGGGGCACCTCACCTCACTTCCCTTCCCTTGCATGATGCGTGGAAGGGCCTTTCAGAATTGCAGTCCCTTTGCTCTGAGGAGCACTGGGACTGCTGTCCCCTGTAACCTAAAGGAAGCAGAGAGGAGATGGGGCCATGGCTCGTCTCCCTTCCATGCTGACCCCCAGAGCAGGATCAGTGCACAGAGGGTGCTGGGCCGCACACCATACAGGAGTGTAGCAGCAGACATGCTCTCCCTGCATCCCAGAATGCCTCCTGAAGCTCCACCAGGGGTAGCACCTCTCTGTACGACCACCTGTGCTGGTCATTACTTAATGGGCAGTACAGAACCCTAAGGAGCAATTAGTCTATTTAACCACAGAGGTTTAGAAATAAATTTTAAAATATGCAGTAATTTAAAAGTTGGGGACATTAAACAGCTTCTGACTGATTCAGAAAATGATGGCCAAAATTTTCAAATTTGGCTGCCTCAATTTAGGCACCTTGATCTACATTTAGGCTACCTACAGAAGAGCAGCCTGGTTGTCAGAAATGCTGAGCATTCGCAGCTCCCATCGTCTTCCTCGGTAATTGCGGATGCTCAGCACTACTGAAAATTGGACATACACTGTAGGTAGCCATTTTGGCAGTTCGGGCCTGTATGTCGAAGAGATGGAATAGTTTTAGTTTAGCAAGATCTGATCAGTAGGCTTGGATTCTGCATGACTAAAAGTAAGGAGCGGTTCAGATCCAGCTTCCATTTTGTCCAAGCCCACCCAGACCTGATCAGAGTAGCCAGGTAAATGGTTCCAGTGTGAACTTCCCTCCTAATTTGAAGTCTCCTCACCAGTGCAATTGGATCATCCAATTATTTGAAAATAATTGGATCTAATTAGAAGTATAGGGCCATATCCCCTACTGGTGGAAATCCCCGTAGTTCCATTGATAGCAGTGGAATTATGGTGATTTACACCAGTTGAAGATCTAGCCCAGGATGGTCATTCTGGGCTAAATTATGCCTTGTGTTATTCTCTTGCAATCCTCATTATCTTCAATTTGTTTGCACAAGTATGAGGACAGAACTTGGTCCAGTATGTTTAAAAATAGTGTGTGTGTGTATGTGTGTGTTTGTGTATATATACACATACACACACCGTTTAATGAAGGAGATTAAACAGAGTAGGATGCCTAATACATTTTTCAATCTCCATCCAGTAGACTGTTCTCTTATGTGTGTACAATACATTCCCAGATTTTTGTTTATGCAGGTATGCGTGTCATGAAATGTCACTAATAGTGGTTGGTTTACATATTTGTCTAATAATAAGCTAATACTGTGTATGTAATATCAATTCAGAAATGACTAATTTTAATAGATTAATGGCTTTTGTTCTGTTAGTGTGATTTAAAAAACAGACTTTGGAGTAGGATGTTTTCCATAAGAGGCATGAAAAGCAACTACTGTTGTTACAATGTTAAGTCTTCTTTGACAAAAATGTGTATTGTGTAGGTATTGCAAAACAAAAAACAAAACAAACCCTGCCCCACCCCGCTACATGGTATTTGCATTTTTACAGATTTACTTGTGCCAAATATGTGCAAAGATTTAATTTACTGTTTTAAAAAAATCATAAAAACATGTTATAGCACACAAAGAATTATTTTGTCATCAAGTGATTTCAATCTTTAGTGTTAATATTTATATTTAGATTAATTTTTATAAATGAAAATATTTTAATGGTTAAAAAAATTAAGACTATATAATGATCTATTTGATTAAGTCTGAGTGAAAGTAAAGCTTGCCTTGTTGTTGTTATCTGCGTATTCACCAGGAATTATTGTTAAGAGAAATTATAAGAGTAAAAGCAATTTATGAAAAAGAATGCCTTTGCAGGGACCTGATTCATAAAGAAAAAGAAAATAAATCTCCTGTTGTTTGGATTTCTGTGCACTTTACTCAGAAAAGGTGCAGACTGCACTGCCGTATATTTGAGTAGGATGGTAGGTGCTCCGCCCTGGCAGTATAGGAACTTGCTGTACATAAATGACCACTTCTCCATTGGTTCTTTCACAGCTATACAGCTCAGAAAAGGACTGCAGTATTCCAGTGTGTGAAATGCACCAATTTAGCCAGGGAGGGATAGAGAGACGTACTCTTCCCTTCAGATTGATTTTAGAGGAAAAAGAAAAGAGCCCTTTAAGAAATGTATTACATCCTTCTAAACCATATGCACGTTGTGCTAAATACTGTCCCTTAACTGGCAAAATTCCCATAGATGTCAGTGGGGGTTTAAGAGCTGGGTTGGGTAACCTCAGGCTTTGGGCCTCTCTAAATACATACACCACCTTCATTTCCTATATTGCCCTGTTCTAATGTGTCCAATGCAAGTTTCATGCCATGTGGCAGGTTCCTTGCAGGTAGCACATTCACTTTTATCTTTTTGCTCTGCGTTCTTACCCCGTGCTTTTTTCTTGCAAGTGATAAATGTCCTAAACCCCAGGCTCTGTATTCCTCATGATTAGGAGAATCACTTTCCTAGCCCAGCTGGAATTGTGCAGTCTGAGGCTTTTACTGCTATGGCTTGCACTTTTCCATCTCTGTGCTGTGGGCAGTCAGTGTCACTACTCTTAGTGTGGATTACTGCATTGCCAAGCAGTGAGTACTTCACATTTGGCCTGGTCCTTTGGAAAATGTGATGGAAATGTGGTCCCCCTCAGTGGTGCTCATATTCACAGTGCTGTGGATAACAAGCCTTCCTTCAAGTGAGTATCAACTGTCAGAATATGGCTGCAGAACACTTTCACAGAAAAGATATATGTGCATACAAAAAACTGCCTCAACCAGCTAGCTGGAGATTTCCTCACAAAAGCAGAATCCCCTGGCTGGCCTAAAGCCTGAGAAGCAGTTATACAGTACACATCTTCTAGCCCCTTGGAATAGGGGATATGGGTGCAGCAGTGCTGAGTTCCAGTCAACCCTGATCACCAGAATGACTTACTGAGGGCTAGCAGCTGGTGCGACTCTAAGTTCTTCAGGCCTGGACCAGTGACACAATCTTGATCATCTGGCCCAGTATATTCATCTTGTGTGGGAGTCCCAGGCCAAGTTGGGACTAGTTCTGGTATACTGTTTGCCCTACTCCATTGCAAAGTCCATGTGAGCTGTTGAATTTTCTCTCTGTAGTGGCACAGGAGCTACCAAGGCTGATAGTGGGTTTATTTTAACAGCCAAATGGATGATGACCATAGTGAGAACCCTGGATAATCCCAGCTGATTTCTGGCTCCATTCACATACCTGCCCACACTCATGATGCAGCTGTCTTAGCTTGGGTTGGTGGTTAGGCAGTTGGCAACTAGAATAGCATCAGGAACTGAACATTTCCATTATCTCTTGCATTGAGGCTACCTACCTCAGTGACATGAAGGATCTATTTTAAGGATACACACCCTTGCAGGCTAAAGGAACCAGAGTGCTTGCAAAAGGCCATTGAGAGGAGACACTGTTCCTTCAACAGGCCACAGTGGCCAAGATTTGATAAGATTATGTAGTACTATAATTATGTTTTTGATTAAGCTATTCAGAGGGTTTTGGTATAATGCTGACAAAACACCATATTACCTAAAAGCCTCCTATCTTTCTTAAGATAGGTGTGACAGAGGCTTCATTGGTGGTGCTGGTAGATTGTCTTTTTATTGTTATTCAAGCAATAGCGGTGTCTAACAAGTCTGAATGATTGGCTTTAAAAACTGGAGTAGTCTTAGTTCATAAGCTATCCACACACTCCTAAAAAAGGTAACTGCAATAATATGGGACTCAGGTCACACCTCATATGAGCAACAAATAGTGGATATGCATAGCAATCAGTCTACAAACAAGCCCAGGGCTCAAATTCCTTCACACAACCTATTTATCAAACAATTGAGAAATACAATCAAGTCTGTAAAAATAAAATCACCTCCTGATGGCAGATAGCCCATTTTTCTGCCTCTGAATTAAGTTAGTTGGATAAATGATGTGCTGTGATTAAGTCGACCACTGCTACTTTGGCAGTGATTCATGAAGACAACTAGACACACAAGCTTGGTCTATTATCTTCTGAAGTACTCTTCAGGACCCAAGTTTTAATTCTAGTCCATTAGCTAAATAGTGAATGGCTTTTTTTTTTTTTTTTAAACCATGAGCTACAACTTCGCTTATAATTTTATCTGATGTATTTTTGGTGGCAAGAGTTGCTTATCAAGATTAAATGTGTATAATTATATGAGCAATGCTAATTAGAAGTTATTGAATTAACCAGTATAGTGATGGGTCACATCAATCAAGCAATCATGGATTATTTCTGCAATCCAATATAATATGATAATTTTTTAGGTATGATGCTTGAACAGTGACTTTTAGTTTTCCCAGTTAGAAGATTGAAAACCACTACTATAAATCTTTTTCCATTTGCAGACCCCAAAAGATTTCAAA